GGGCTCGTAAAGCAAGGGAGCCGAACACGAACACACTTTTTGAGCTCGAAATATAAACGAGCCGAACATGAACTGAGCTTGGATCGCTCGTGTTTGGCTCATTTACACCCCTAATCCCTTGATGTTCTTCCTGCCACTGGAATTCCCTCCTGTAATCCTTCCTGCCGGTGAAATTCCCTCTTGCGGCTTTTCTTGCTGCCAAAACTTCATGCGGACATATCTGCGCCGACTGGACCTTCGGGCTTACTCTTGCAGCCGGTTCTCTCCCCTGCAACCTTTCCCGTCGCCGGACCTTCCTCATGCAACTTTTCTCGCTGTCGGATCTACCTCAAAAAATTTTTCCCAAGGAAAGCACTGCTCTTTCCTGCAACATTATTGCAGCCTTCTCCAAGCACTACAGTTTTCATGAGCACTGTCATTGGCCCTCTGCAGCTTTCCTGCAACCTCCCTGCAACCTCCCTGCAGCCTCCTTGCAGCTTTCCTACAACCTCCATGCAGCATCCTTGCAGCTTTCATGCTATTATCAGTCAATCAGTGACTTACAAATTCATCAATGTCTCGAAATTGAGCTTAGCCCTCGTCCAGACCACTCTCAGGCTTCGACATTCTAGGATTCAACGCTCTCAGGCTTAAGCACTCTCAGGATTCGGCACTCTTAGACTTCGACATTCTCGGCTCCGGGACTTTCAGCTTCGACACTTACAATTTGAGGATTGTTGGAGTTTTTTGGCAAATTGATGTTATATGATAGTCAGCATACCGCAACCGATGTTTTCAAATTCAAGTTGAACATGGTTTTCAACCATGTTCAACTTGAGGGGGAGTGTTGAAATATCTAATTTAAATTATATGATTTATTGTCTTTCCTGTTAAAACTTATAGTAGGAAATAATTTATTCCTAGTTATGAGGAATAAATTCTTTCCTTAATATAAAGAGATATTTTCTTTTCATATATTAGGAATTATTTGTTTTCCTAATTTATATTGTTTCTTATTATCTCCAAATAATTAATATGAATTAATTATTAGAGATATCAGGTGATATATCTTTCCTTTCATATCATTTCTTTTTTTATTATTTTTCTTATTATAGGATTCTTGTAAGGTTTATTTATATACTCGTTCGTATCCATGAAAATATTCCGAAATATTCAATATTCCGCATTATTTTAAATTTCAACAATTTTATTTGAGGTGGTTACAAAGGATACACGTTCTTGTAATACATAAACCATATATAACTTGTTTCATGATGTTATTTACAAAGTATCGATTGAGGCTGTTAAAATTTTCTGTTGTTAAAATTTATGATTAAATCTTTATCTATCAGGTCTGATTTTATGGGAACAAACTTCATACTGTACGACAGCAGGCCACCATATGATGGTGCAAAGGCGTCAGGCGGCCGAGCAAGTCGACGGTTTGCAAGCAAGCAAATCAGCCCCCAGGTCTCTGCGGGCAACTTTGAGATTGGCCGAGTCGCCTACAAGTTCAACCTTCTGAAATCCAGAGGACCAAGGAGAATGCATTCCACGTTACTCTGCCCCGAAGGAGAGACCATAACGGAGAATGATTCTAAGAATCTGGCAAAAGACACCAATAGTGCAGCAAGCTCCATTGTTCTGAAGAACAAGACACCCAGGTGGCACGAGCATCTCCAGTGCTGGTGCTTGAATTTTAATGGTCGTGTTACCGTGGCTTCTGTGAAGAACTTCCAGTTAATTGCCGCTGCTGATCCAAGTCAGGCAGGAGCTGCTGGGGACGAAGAGACTGTGCTGCTCCAGTTTGGAAAGGTTGGGGATGATTTGTTCACTATGGATTACAGGGAACCCCTTTCAGCATTCCAGGCGTTTGCCATTTGCCTAACAAGCTTTGGCACTAAACTAGCTTGTGAATAATTAAATGAATTTTTATGATTGTTGTACTACTTACTGCTTATTGACATTGGAGGGCGGTGTAGAGGGGTCTTTATTTTTATTTCTTATAATTTTGATTTTTTTTTTTAAATAGAGCTTTAGGTTTATATTTCAGACAGAGTTGGCTTGTATGTTTGCTGAAGTTGGGTTTATTTTCCTGAGCTGGCTTGTTTTTAGCTCTGTATATAAATGGATTATGTACTGGACCTTTGTATAAATACTTTTTCTAGCTTTCTTTGTTATATGGTATGCTTTGTAATATATATATATATA